GGCCATTGTCTCTAGGAACCCTAATGGAGCTGGCTTGGTCACCTGGCCCAGATACGACCTGAGTGAGCAGTATCTGGAAGTAGACCTAAAGCAGAAGGTGGGGAGAAAACTGAAAGAGAAAGCCGTTGCCTTCTGGACCGAGACCCTGCCAGAAAAGGTGGCCAAAGAGAAAGGACGCACTGAGCTATAACTTCTTCAGCCACACATGAACTCCAGAATTTGGTGCATCAGAAAACATTTCTCAGATAATGGTCACTCACCACTGGATTGCAAGTCTGGCCCCTTCTCTTCAACTGGGCGAGTGGACGCTGGCCTCCAAGGGCAAGCTAGTCACACCTTCCCAAATGAAGTTGGTCACGGGGTTCTAGAGGAAGGGCCATCGCTTGCTGCAACCAGTGGCCTCCATGACAAAAGCGTGATTGTTGCAAGAACTTTAACCTCAGACTGTCTACTCTGGACCTCACCCCTTTCCTAAGAGGCCTGTAGGGGGCCTGCATAAGCGCACCAACGTGCCTACCGCCCCTGTCCTATTGTTTCTTTTATTTTTCTTATATGTATCCATGTATTCATAACTATGGTTTTACTTATACCTATTATCTTGTAAGCAATTGACAAAGCAAATTAAAAATCAATCAATCAATCAATAAGAAGATAATCCTGCTCTGTCTAGAAACCCTTTAGAACTATCAGCTTTGAATACGAATTGAGATTTTCAGTAGAATCAGCGGAATACTCTGGCAATAGTAATAGTGTCAGGATTCCGGCAGTTACTCCCATTTAAATCATGAGTCTCGAGCCAAACATCCAAAACTTCAAAAGGGAGTTAAATTGGGAGTTAAATTGTCCAGCACTGTCTGGGTGTAGCCAACTCTGAGACACAAAGTCCCTTGACCCCAGTTTCCCCCCACCTCCTAGGTGTATCATAATTCATATTCTCCAATGGGACACATCCATTGCCAAGAATCATCAATCATACCCTCCGGTTAGACTTTTGCATGGCAGAAATTTCGGTCACCTAGTTACTATCTTTGAAAACATTTATGGAATGCAGTTTCGGTTTGCAAGCTGCTGCACTGCCCCCCTCTTTTCTGTATTCTGCACAGAGGTGGATTTGAAGCTGTACAGATGCAGATAGATAACTCAACAAAATGTCCATAACAAAGTACATTTATTGGTTCATCAGGTATCCTCATAACTCACATTTGTGACGAAGTTCTTCTTTAATGACCAATCCTTTGCATATCTGCCTTATAGTAAAAGATGGTTATCTCCTAACACTTATCGTAGCGATAGAAAGCAGCTGCCATGAATTAGGGAATTCAGGCAAAAGTGAGGAAAACTCCCCCAACCCTTCGAGGGTCAATTTAGTGACCAATCAGGATTACAGATGTGGCCACGTGACATGAACTACATTTCCCAGGATACCTTTAACTACATTTACCATGATGCATTCACTTAAGGGGACAGCTCATAATTCCTAAGTAACTATCCAATTCCCATAGACTGGCTGGGACAGCACACCCTCCCTTTCTGTTGGCAACTCTAAAAAGACCATAGAAATATTTTATGGGTTGACAAATAGAATAAATAAGGTCCTTTGAAACTTCGTGAAGCTTTATACACAATAGCAATAGCATTTAGCATATACTGCCCGTTAGCACTTTACAGCACTCCCTGGTCAGTTTAGTGTCAGCATTAATAGCATATTGCCCACAACAATCTGAGTCCTCATTTTACCGACCTCAGAAGGATGGAAGGCTGAACTCCAGGCGCGGGCAGAGTTTGCCTGCAATACTGCCTTCTAACCACTGAGCAAATAGGGCACCTATGCAGTATCAATAGAATATAAAGCAGGTGGTTCATGCAAAAATTCAAAATCATAGAAGAACATAGATTTTGACGAGTGATGGCAAGGATGCTTAACAAATCCTCTGAAGTAGTCTTAAAACAAATCTCCTATTTATTTATTCAGTATATATGCCACCACAAATACAAAGTGACCAAAAACCAATATCAAATTACTACTTGAGGGAAAAACAACATAAACATCACAGGAAGAACTAGCCTTTTCAGCAGCTCATCCATAGGGAGTGTATCCCTGAACACCTGGAAGGTACTTGCAAGTACAAATAACTCCACAATTTAACAACCACTTGGTTAGTGGCCATCTGAACATACATTGGCACTCAAAAAAGTGGCTTATAGCTGATTCTCAGGCCTACAACTGTTGCAGGATCCTTGTGGTCACGTGATCAAAATTGGGGCGCTTGGAAATCAACCTGCTTTTATGGCGGTTACAAGCCCTTGGGAGAACGTGATCACCATGTTGTGACCTTCCCAGCTGGATTCCGGCAAGCAAAGCCAATGGGGGGATCCAGGTTTACTTAATGACCCTATGATTCACTTAACAGCTGCAAGCAATTCATTTAACAACTATCACAAAAAAGTCATCAAATTGGTTGCAATTTACTTAATAAGCAGGTTGCTTAGCCATGAAAATTCTGGTCCCAGCTCTAGTTGTAAGTCGGGGATTATCTGTGTTAAGAAAGATACAAATTTGATCAGAAAAGGGAGTGATTTAAGCCAGTGATGGGATTCACATTTTTTTACTACTAGTTTAGTGGGCGTGGCTTGGTGGGCATGGCTTGGTGGGTGTGGCAGGGTCAGGATACTACAAAATCCCCTTCCCTCCCCACCCCACTAACCTGCTTTCCAGCCCCGTTCTCCTGTGCAGGGCAACAAAGGAAGACCCAGCTGATCAGGTGGGACTCAATGGGAGGCAGCAAATAGATGGGGTCGGGGCAAGTCAGAGGTGGGATTTGCCAGTTTTCTGAACTACTCAAAGTTTCCTCTACCAATTCTCCAGAACTGGTCAGAACCGGCTGAATACCACGTCTGATTTAAGCCATAAATTAGCCATTTGTGAACTGTTATCTAAAATCAATTTCTAATGTTTAATTCTCACATCTGATTATTGTTTGATTCGTTGCTTTCTGACACATCATGTATATTGAATGTATGTATCATTTATCTCTGTATACTATATAAAGACTGGACTGCCCTCTTCATAAATACTTTTTGTTTTTCCTGAATTATTTGGGTTTGATTTGTTGGGGCAGGAGGGCGAAAGTTACCTCATGAGGTTATTGAGTGTTTCTCAGATTCAGGAACCAGTTTTTCTCCAGCTCCACGCCACTTGTGCACCTGGGTTTTAAAGCAGCAACACCATCCTGCTAGGACTAAACCTGTGCCCACAGATCCAAACAGCTCCCAAGCACTGGCACCGGATTTACGCGGATCTCCTGTTCAGCCAGGATTGAGAAAGAGGGCCAGCTTGGCCCAATGGTTGGCCTAAAAGCCAGGGGACTAGCAGTGTTTGGCCATCCTCAGGCATATAGTGTGGATGGGCTCTTGAGCCTGCCCCATAGAGTTGCTCTCCGGAGGGGAATAGAAGAAGGAGCCTCTTGAACCCTGTGCCAATGGATGGCTGCTCTCTGTAGCTTCACACAGGTATTCAATAAGAAGAGTGGGAGATCTGGGGCACCCCACAACAGAGGGTCCTGGGATGCACCCTCCCCTTCCCTGAAGGACCAGGGCCCGTCACTTCTAAGCCTTGCAGCTCACTCAAGAGGTTGCTAGGATGGATGGTACCACAGACACAGAAAGTGTGATGATTCGGGGCGTGGCACAAAAATAACAAAGTCACCAAAGTAGATAAATTCCCTTTAATGCCTCCAACTTGGCCCCCAATGTCCAGTTATCCTTGGAGATCAAACTCTTCCAAAAAACAGTATATGAAGGGAAGAAATGCAGTCCAAACCCAAAGTAAAGATAATTAGAAAGTAAAAAGACCAACACAAACCACGGTGAAGTACTTGACATGACAGGGCAGGATGATAAATGGTAGAATTCCACAAGATAACGCAGCACGGACAGTTGGGAGGATGCCAAAACCCAGATAAGCCTCGAAAAAGATAATGCATGCTTTGCTTCCAGCAACTTTGCCATGCGCAGTTTGCCCTTTTAAGCAGTCTTCCCTGCCGTAACCCATGAAGGGGATCAGGGCCTTCTTCTCTCTCGCAAGCCACATTGCTCCCTTCTCAGTTCCTCCCTGCGTGCCCTAGGATGAAAAGGCCCCGGGTCTTCCTCTGAATGCCCAGCTGGACTGAATACCCTTCCCCTGTTTCTTCCACAGCCACCAGAGCCCCACTCCCACTCCCTGTCAGGTGCTCCACCTCCCCCTCAGAATCGGACTCCAACAAGGGCATGACAGACAGGCCAACAGGACCAAGAGAACCACCTTCCATCTTTTGCCTTGCCCAGGTCTTCCAAAGACTGACCAATGGGGCCATGCTCAGCCCTGAAAGAGAAGAATGCTTGGCAACTGTCTCACATTTAAGACGGTTGCAGCGTCCTGGAGTCACATGGTCCCCTTCTGAGGAGCAAAGTCAATGGGGAAGCCAGATTGACTTAACAACCAGGTTACTCACTTAATGACTACAGTGATTCACTTAACAAATATGGCAGGAAAAGTCATAATATGGGGCAAAACTCACTTAACAAATTCCTCACTTAACAACATAAATTTTGGGCTCAGTTATGGTTGATTATCTGAATAAAATTGAAGAAGACGATCTCATTTACACCTAGAAGTCCTTAATTACCTTGCTGGTATTCTTGTAATCTGTAAGCCAAGGATTTACAAACCTTTCTCACGTAGCGGTAACTCTCAGTAACCCTGATTTATCTTGAAAAGATATTCACAAACACGACTAAACACCGTTTCAGGAAAATGTTAAAATTTTCAAGTAAATGCTACCCATTTCGAGTAATTGTTACATAATTGTTCAAAAGTTACTCCAGATCAGAGCAATAGCACTGGGGCTTATATACCGTTTCACAGTGCTTTCCAGCCCTCTCTAAGCGGTTTGCAGAGTCAGCCTCTTGCCCCCAACAGTCTGGATCTTCATTTTACCAACCTCAGAAGGATGGAAGGCTGAGTCAACCTGGAGCCTGGTGGGATTTGATCTGCCCAATTGCAGTCAGCCGGCAGTCAGCAGAAGTCGCCTGCAGTACTGCACTCTAACCACTGCGCCCCTGAGGCTCTTGGTGAGGTAGGAGACCCCCAGGATTACCAATATCATTGCTTCTGCTCCTTCCCATTTGCAACCCAGCATCACATTCACTTCTTAAGCTAAGCGGTGGAGTTGTTGTAACAATTGTCCGTCTGCAATTGAAAACTTTCTGCTTCTTTGGGCGGCCATAGCAAACTCCCTGAAGTTCACCTGGGGTGATTTAACCCAGACTTGCTGGCCATGGATTGGCAATTGAGACCCAGGAAGCCAGTGGGGAAAAGGGCCAGAAGCTCCTTGCAGAAGCTGCTGGATGAACAGGTGGAAGGTAAGAAAAAGGAGGCCTGCTTGCCTGCCAACACCTGTGTCCCACCTCTCAAGTTGGCTGCTCATGGCAAATGGGGAGGAGCCTCTCTGTCCGTGAGGCAGAAGAGGCAGCATTCTGGTGTCATGGCAACCGTGTCTTAACAGGGGCTGGCAACCGAGCACTAAGTCAACACAGAACCTTAGCAGAAGATTAGTGCTGCAACCCTGGGCACCGCAGAATGAAAGGGACACCCCATTTCCGTCTCAAACAGAGAAAGGAAGCAACTCAGCGATCCCAAGACCCAGGGAGAAGTTCTTCGGTATAAAGCTCTTGCCCTCTGCCTCGGGGGCCCAGTTCCCCCCCTCCTCTCCTTCCCAACTCTGGATTACCAGAGGCCTTTTTCCTCCCCTGACTAATCTCTCCACCAAAGAGCCTCATGCTTCAAAACTAGTCCAGCTTCGCCCTGGCCGGAACTGCTGGGGTCTTGCTGGGATCCACCCACCCAGGGGCTGTGAATGCAGGGTGTAGACGTCACCCAAGCCCCCTCCTTCTAATGCACTCGGCCACTGCAGATGAGAAGAGGCAGCAGCCTCTTGGGTTTGGGGGAAATGTGCCTCCCATTAACCCTTTCTCTTGAGGAAGCCCATCAAATCACGCAAACTCAGCCACCCACCCCAAGAAGCCAGCAGTTTCCAGGCTCAGCCTGCCTAGAAATGCTCCACGGGGAACTGACTGGCAGCTCCTCCGGGGGTGCTGAGGCCGCCCATCCGACCAGAGCTGCTTGGCCTGCAGGTGAGGAGAGAGAGAACTGGCCCCATCCCCCGATTCACCCCCCCTCTCTCTTTGACAGGGCCAGCTTGTGTTGCTTCTCCTTTCTGTCATCACCCTGCCTTCTTCTGGAGGAGCCGGTGAGTGGAGCCCCTGAGCCCAGACGCACCTCCCTGCTCCCAAATTCACAGGAACACAACAAGAGCTTTCGGGCAGAGCGGGAGTTGGCCGGGGTGTGTGTGTGTGTGTGTACAAGGAACACAAAGTAATGGAGTAACAGTGTTGTGCCTGTTGTGTCCACGGCTGCCCTCTGCTGCCACTCCAGATCCAGTCCAGGCAGGAAAGAAGCAAGACTGGATAAACCGCTTTAATTGGTGGAAGTTTCCAATTGCTGGAGCATTTTTCAGTCCTTTCGCTGCTGCTTTGGTGTTGCTAATTTGTCTTCCCTTCAACTTTCACAGTCAGAAACTTTGCAATTGGATTGAGCTGGGCGGCTATAGAAATGAATCAATAGCCTTCTTTTCATGGGTCAGCATTGACAATCCCAATTCTAGGAAACACAACCAGTCATTTCACCCAAATGGGCGCCCTCTCACAATCCTGTTTGTCCATTGTGTGAAATGACAGGTTGTGTTTCCTAGAATTGGGATTGTCAATACTGACCCATGAAAAGAAGGTTATTGATTCATTTCTATAGCCGCCCAGCTCAATCTAGTTATTCTGAGCAGCAAACAGTTATAAAACAGTTATAAGCAGCACAAAAAGAAATATACGCAGCTGCTGAGGAAATTATTATAATTCTCATTGTAGCCAAAAAAATGGGGCTCTTCACACATTCGAAGCCCCAGGCCTGGGCACATAACCAAGTTTTTAAGGCCAAGTCCAGAGCAGGGGTCTCCAACCTTGGAAACGTTAAGCCTGGCAGACTTCAACTCCCAGAATTCCCCAGCCAACTTTGCTGGGAGTTGAAGCCCTCCAGGCTTAAAGTTGCCAAGGTTGGAGACCCTGGTCCAGATGGCAGGAGCTACAGCAGAGAAGGCAAATCCCCTGGTCCATGCCAGCCAATATTCCTTGCCTGACAGGACCTGCAGCCATACCCATTTCTGCCAGACAGGATTGGACAGGTAGAAACCATGGAGAAAAGACACCCCAGGTAAGGCACTCCAAAGCTTGTAGGGTTTAAAGCACCTTGAATTGCATACAGACGCACACCACTAACTAATGATGCAGCCCTGGGTGTCATAGGTATTGCGTGTCTGAGGACTCTTCACCACCTGTGCAGCTGCCTTCTGTTCAGTTGAAGCTCCCAAATGCTCTTCAGAGGCAGCCCCATGTAAAGCGCATTGTAGCAGTCCAAACAAGACAGTACGAGGGCATAAATGACCATGAGCAGAGCCTCTCCGTCTGGAATGGGCACAAATGGCTCCCCTCGGCTGCCCTCTGCTCTTCAAATAGGAGCCTTGAGTCCGGGAGACCTCCAGATTTTACAGTGTTACAAGTAAGTGGGTGCCAAGGGGGCACACTTCTTTCGGGCATCTGGAGCAGAGTGAGAAGGCAAGAGAAGAGAGAGAAGCCACCGGATAGAAGGAAGGACTCGCCTTGGAGCTCTGGAAGGGAAGCCAGGAAGAAATTGGGAGCTCCGTGAGGGAATTTGTGCTGAGCAATTGAAGGAGCAATCAGAAACAAGGGCAACAAGGAGTGCAAGGGACAAGGGATAGCAGAAAGAATCGTAAAATGGAGCTGGCTCCTTTGAGCATCCTGTAGATCACCCCCCCACACACCTTTTGGGCCTCAGGGACCGGTTCCGTGGAGAGAGGTTTTTCCACGGACTGGAGGGGACGTGGTTTGGTGTGCTGCCTGCATCCCACAGATGAGGCTTCGCTTGTTTGTGTGGCCCAGTTTCTCGCATGCCACAGGTCAGAGGTGGTCCGTGGCCTGCGGGTTGGGGAGCCATGCCATAATTGGGGAAGAAATGCAAACGCCTAAGGCAAGGTCAAGGAGGCCCCGATGACGGACTTGCACATCTCTTTCACAAAGTTGCAGGTTGCGGCAGACAAGCCAGCCTAGTTCCCACAAACTCTGGCCAAGACGTGGCTGCTGTCGGTGAATTCCCTTGGCTGGTCTCGCTGCAGGACCAGGGCAGCCATGTTGCGCTTGGTTCCATCCTAAGTCAAGACTGGATCCTAAGTGCAGCCTCCAGTTTCCACCACAGGTAATGCTCAGGAGCTCCTTCCAAGCAAGCAAGTCAGAAAGATGGCCCTTAGCAATCATCCTGGGGTTTTACACACACACACACACACACGGGAATTCTTCCAGCAACATCCTTTCCTTGCGCCTGGGAGCTGGATAAGGATCCATTGTGTTCATGATGGTGACAAAAGCAGCACTTGAGATCCTGGTGGACCATTTTTAAATGATTATTTTGAGATATTTTGGAGTCATGAGCAACCAAGATGGTAAAGGTTCTCAGAATCTTGCCCATTTCCCATCAGTTGTCTGTGCTTCACTCCCTGGCATTCCCCAGGCCCACTGACCCCCTTTTAAAAAAACCACTGGCTCTTGTTTTAGATGTTTGGTTTTTTTTGGAAAAACAAATGCATAGGGCGAAGTTGTAGTTTATGCCGCCATTACTATGTCCCCTGAGGTATACTTAATAAATATGAATGCTGCTTGGACCCATGATGGCTCAGTGGTTAGAATGCAGTATTGCTGGCTGACTCTGCCCACTGCCAGGAGTTCGACCCTGACTGGCTCAAAGTTGACTCAGCCTTCCATCCTTTCAAGGTGGGTAAAATGAGGACTCAGATGGTTGGGGGGTGGGGGAGGGCTGGAAAGCACTATGAAGCGGTATATACCCCAATTGTAAGTGCTACTGCTATTGCTTGGTCCCATTGCTACTTGCACTGGCTAGTGAGATTCCCGTGTCTTCTCTGCTATTTGCACCTCACCCGCTTTAAACAGGCAAATTTTCCTCTACTACTCCATCTCCAGGCAGCGGAAATTCACCTGATAAAAGTTTTGTTCTGCCAGCCCAGGAGATCTGCCAGAAGAAGGTGGCCAAGCCCATCTAGAAATGTGAGCAGGACTCCAGGTTTACCGGACAATCGATGTTTCCTCCAGTAACCCCTTGCTGTTTCTTGCTGCCCCTTCTTTGTTTCCAGGACCCAGATCTCCGCTTTGGCTGGACGTTTGGATCCCAAAGGGCCTGGGGAATCTCTGGTGCCCATCCAGACCATCATCCCCCACGAGGCCTTTGACGAGATAACCCTGGTGCACAACATTGCTCTGCTGAAGACAAGCACTCCACTCCGTTTCAGCGTGACCCTGCAGCCCGCCTGCTTCCCCACCCCAGACTTCCCAGGGGCAGCGCTGAAGAAATGCTTTGTGGTCGGCTGGCCAGACCCTCAAGGAGGTGAGCCGGCACTCTTCCTGCAAAGCTGCCCCAAAGGGAGAGCCGGGAGGCGATGGAGCATCGCCTGCCAGCCGTGACAACTTCATAGAGGTTCTCTACTTCCCTTGGCTCGCCAGGGGTCAGTCGTCTGCGGAGACTCTCGGTGGAAGATGTGGACCCCTGCCCCCTGCACAGAACCGTCAGGACCGAGTGTTGCAGCCACCGGGAAGGTGACCGAGTGCCCGGATGCCTGGTGAGGAGACCCTCAAGGGTGCCTTAACCTGGATCCCACGGGGGGCTTCAGAGAGTCACCTTTTCCTGCTCTTTCGAGAGAGCTTGCCCTTAGCAAGAATCGGCCGGAAGGCGAGTAAGCACTCCGCCATGTTTCAAGCCTCTGAGGTTAAGAACCGAGCAACATCGGCCTCTCTGGCCTTTGAACAAAGGAATCTGGATGTGAGAGCACTCCCGTATCCTGCAGAGGACCGTCTGCATTTGCACCACAATTATTCAAGTGGGCAGAGATTTCTGCAGGGTGCTAATTGACAGTCCTTTGCTTCTCCCCCTCCTGTGAGTCTGCGAGGAGCCTCAAGCCCCTTTGGGGTGGCCAAGATGGCCTCCTTTCTTCAAACCCCGCAGACTCCATCTTGCTCACGGGGTTGGTCTTTTCTTCTCCTGAGGGGGGGGAGGGGGCTGAGTCCCCGAGACACCCACCCTATAGGGGGAGTTGGGATCCAGGAGGTCGACTAGTGGTGCCTCAAGATGGTCCAAAAGGGCCTGGAATTGTGACCGGTGTTTTCTCTCCAAGGGGTCAGCCGGCAACCCGGTCCTGTGTGAGGCGGAAGGAAGGCGGGTGCTGAAGGGCCTGCTGAGCGAAGGGGGCACCAGATGCTATGGGCCCTTCCTCTACAGCCGGCTCGTCTACTACAGTGACTGGATCGTGGCCACCACGGCCAAGTGGAGGGCTCCAGCGTCCCCCTTTCCTGGCCAAAGGTATCCTCCCCTTGGGGGCCCAGCGGAGGAACAGGCGAGGCTGCTGTTTGAGCCCTTTCTGGCGCTGAGAGCCCTGAATGTCTCCGATGGTTCAGAAGAACCCCTCGGCCTGAACCTGGAGCTGGAGGAGGGCGGCCTGGCCCCCCCCAAAGGGCCCCCCGAGGCACGAGGGAAACTTCCGCTCTACTATGACTACTACGGGGGGGAGCTGCTCGCCATCCCGTCAGCAGAGCCCGGCCAGCCCCAGGGGCTGCAGGGCCTCCTCTGCGGGGTCCTCCTGCTGCACCTCCCGGCTTCCTGAACTGCTGGGCAACCCGACTGTACCTGGGCCCCGAGACCCGATTTCTCCTGGGAGGCCCTTTGACCCTCCTCGGTCTCCTTGCCCCCCGAGCACGAGAGGGAAGAACACAAAGCACCAACAACCCCCAGGAAGCTTCAGGACAGCCTGCCTTTGCAGGCCTCGTGCAGGGCGCCGGCCCATGGACAGGTGTCCCCGTCCATTAAATCCCCTTTTTCTGTGTGTCCTATCGCTGATGAGATGTCCTTTACTTGAGCTTTTGGCCAGGACGGAGAGCTGCCTGTTGCTAGGCTGGGACCAGTGGTCACCACGTGTTTATGAGCCACCCTCACCCCCCCCATAATCCCCAAAGGTGGGGATTCCTGCGACACCCTGTGCCAGCTATGGATTTGGTCCTCCACTTTGCACTTAGGGCGTAACTCTGAGCTGCAATCTCATGCCCGAGACCTTTGGATCCCCCCCCCCCAAATCTCTGGATTTTAGCACATCTTGCCTAATGAACCTCTGGAGAACAAACTCCTCCGTGGGGACGGGGGGTTTTTTCTTCCTCGGAGCTCTTTGAGCTTGGCTGTTTCCTCGCAGATGCTTCATTACCCAAACTCATTTCAACCCTGAGCCACAGATATTCTCCTTTAGTGAAACTCTTCCATCTTCTTGGAATGCCAGTTTGGCTAGGCTACCTGTCAAGGCTTTGGCTGCCATCTCTGCCAGAGGTGGGATTCATCTGGTTCTGACCGGTTCTGAAGAACCGGTAGCGGAAATGTTGAGTAGTTTGGAGAACCGGCCAATCCCGCCTCCGACTGGCCCCACCAACCCCATCTCTTCTCTGTCTCCCATTGAGTCCCAGCGGATCGGCTGAGTCTCCTTGGGTTGCCCTGCATGAGAGAACGGAGCTGGAAAGCAGGTTAGTGAGTGGGGAGGGGAGGGAAGGGGGATGTTGCAGTATGTCCTTCCCCTGCCACGCCCACCAGGCCACACCCACAGAACCAGAAATAAAAAACTCTGCATCCCACCACCGATCTCTGCCCTCGTGTTCAAGCAGAGTGCCCTTCAGCACACGGCACCCAGCAGATGCCCGATGGCTGCACCTGGTTGTTCATGCCACAGTTCTCCAGCAGTTAGAAAATAAATCAGAAATAGAATCTAGCAACATACGTTTTAAATGAGGCTAAGTGGCATTTAGTTGGGAGTTTCTTGTAGTGGAACCATTAATCAGAGGGACAGCTTGCCCTCAGAAGTTGCGGGTGTTCCATTACTGGAGACTTTTAAGAAGAGACCAGACAACCATTTGTCCGGAATATTATAGGGTCTCCTGCTATCAGGGGGTTGGACTAGAAGACCTCCAGGGTCCCTTTCAGCCCTGTGATTCTTATAGAAGCCAAGAGCTACAAGACAGAAACTCCTGGGATTTCTTTGCTTGAGGACCGTTGTCCTTCTTAGGGGAGCCCTGGGAGCCGGAGGTTTGGGGGTGCTGCCTCTGGGGGCTCTTTGGGTTTGATGGGATTAGGCCAGGGGTCTCCAAACGAGGCAACTTTAAGACTGGTGGACTTCAATTCCCAGAATTCCTCTCAGCCAACAAAGCTCTGCTGGCTGAGGAATTCTGGGAGTTGAAGTCCACCAGTCTTAAAGTTGCCTCGTTTGGAGACCCCTGGATTAGGCAAAGAGGGGAGCTGGGCGAGGCCCAGGAGACCAGGAGGGAGGAGATGCAGCCTCCATTTCGGGTCTTGCCTCCCTGCCCTCCTCCATCCTCCTCCTTTCAAGGGCGCCATGTGGTTCATCTGATGCAGCTGAAGATTGGGGGGGGGGCGGGGGGGCTGGACGGGATGCCTTTCATTTCTGATTGTAAAATCCCAGTGAAACCACTTGCATCTATTCTCAAACATCTGGTCAGGTATTTTCCTTGTACAGGTCAAGAAAAAATGGGGTTATATTTTTTTAAATTGAACATTTCTTTATATTCTGATATTCTAGTGCTCCCCACCAACCCTACATCCCCCCCCCCCCCCGCAATTTCAGCATGTTTAACTTACAACATGTAAATTTAAAACATGCATCTCCTGCTAAAGAGTTTCTGGAGACCTTTGGATGCTGCCTCCAACCTATCAGTTTTGTTTTGTTTTGTTGTTTCTCGCCCAGAGAAGCAGCCTGTGCTGCAAAGTTCTGACCCAGGACGGTGTGCTCTGACAATGGGCATTTTCAGACGCTTCTTCTCTTATCTGTTGCCACCGAGACATCGCCGCATTTCTGCTTCCAGTGTTTGCCTCCTACTTTTCCAGGGGTTTCAGCCTCCTCTTGCTTGTTATAGTGCAAGAGGAAAGGGGATCCAGCTTAACTGGGGTTTAATTGGGGTTTTCCCTGACATATGTCTAGGGTGAAAGCTCTGGCAAGCTGGATCCCCTCTCCTCTTGCACTACTTTTCCCCTCACCACAAAGAAGGCCGCATCCATCCTCCCGCCCGTTCCTTGGGAATACTGCTGCTCTGGCTGGCTCACCCACGCTTCTTACGCCAGCTAACAGCACGGGGCCCTTTGCAAAGATGACCCAGGGGTATCCTCGGGCTGCTTGGACAATGGCTTCTCGGCGGGTGGAGGACAATTCAAGTCCATCTTCCCATTCCGCCCTTCTCAGGTGTCATCCCCCAACCAACCCGAGGGGGACCCTGACTGGTTAGCTCTCTTGGGGCAAGCAGGGTACAGCCGGTGGCTTGAGCGGCTTCGCCCTTCTTTTGGGTCCATCCAGCAGGCCCCTACCTCGACGTGCAAAACACCGGTGAGAAGCAAGGAGGGCTGAGATCAGATTCCTCTGGGTGTGCAGCAGCAACAGCACTTAAGACTCAAATGCCCTTTCACAGGGTCCTCCAGCCCTCTCTCCATCGGCTCAGGCTCCAGGTCTCCCTTTCCACGTTTTTTTCTGGCAGAGAAATCCTCCTGAAGGCCCAGCCACTGTCCCTGGGCGCTTTGAGGGGAAATGCCCCCATAGCACTGAAGGTTTCAGTCCCCCCTCCCCACTTCCCAAGGTGCTAAAGGGAGTCTGGCTGCATCACCACTCCGTTTATTCATTCTCATGTTGTGGAGTGATTTGAATCAACTCCACAGCTCTGTAGTCAAGCAGGTCTATCGTGATCGATAAATGGCTTAAGACAGATCCGTTTACTAACACACCGAAGGGGCAGAAACCGAGGCCTGGAGGTCAGATGGAGCACGGCAAAAGCCTCCTTCCCTCTCGGTGACCTCCAGGGGCTTTGTGCCTATCCGAAGCCTCCTTGGTCTGGCCCTGGGAGGGGGCGGGGGGGGAAGAAGGGAGGGGGGGTCATCGGAATGAAGCTCTGCATCAGGACGGTGGGGGCTGATGGGTGCAGCAGGTGGCTTGCGAGTTTCCTCCCGCTCTCCTCCTCCTCCTCCGGATTTCTCTAGAGTCCCTGGGGAGAAAGGAAACCGGCCGTGACTTCAGCTCAGGTAAGCAGCTCAACTGCCCGGCCCTTTCTTAGTTTCAAGGGAAGAATCCGGGGGGGGGGGGGGGGGGGGGAAAAAAACATGGGGGGGAGGGCCCAAAGTCAGACTAGAAGGAGAAGCGCAGGGAGGGGGCCTTCATGCAGACAGCAGGCACCCAAGTGGCCAAGAGAGGCCATAGAAGCCCCCAATGGGCTGGGGGGGGGGGGCTCCCGGTCCTGTCCTGTCTCACACACACACACACACACACACACACACACACACACCGGTCGAAGGCCAGGCAAGGTCCCCCTTCCCCACCCACCTCTGTCACTTTGTGTCTCTCCTGCTCTGGTAGAAGAGCCTGCAGCTGGTGACTGGCCATCTTCGCCTTATGCCAAACATTGCGGTAGCTCTTCAAGGCCATCTGCGCGCGGAAGAAATTATTAAGAAAATATTGGAATGTGCTGAAATGAGTAGATTGACATTTGAAATCAGAGAACAAGAAGATAAACAATTCTATGAAGTTTGGGACCTTTTCTATCAATGGCTAGATAATAAAATATAATAATAGAACGTTTAGAAACTTAGGATATAATGAATATATACTTCTTTTTTTTTTCTTTGATACTATTTTTATAAAATTTTATTAAGATAGACTTGGTGTGACTCGATGATTCGTTGTAAAATAAATTAAGTAAATTATAGTTATCTCGTTAAAGTATGAATTAACAAAATTATAGTCAAATGATTGTTTAGTAATGATATCAGGCTATATAATTGCCAAAGTCACAAGGAGGGTGGATGGCCCAAGAACCTGGCTCAGGTCCTTCTTATGGACAAAGGACAATTGGCTCTTACAGAAGATCAAATGCTACCTTGTCCTCGTTTTTATTTCTCAAGCACCTGAGCACCTAACTTGGCAACTCTCATTCTAGGTCTCTTTTTCTTTCTTGCACCTGTCAATGTTGGAGGATTTGTGATGTCCATTCAAAGTAACCAGAAAACCAGCCATTTGCATTTTCCACATGAACGCAAACAAACACCACGGTCAGAACTTACCGACTCTTCCTTTGTTACCGACCTCTTTGAATGCTCGGAAAGTTTAAAACAAAAGTTTCTCTGGAAACAGTGGAAAACAAGCTCCTGCCCGTGGTTACCAACTAGGAAACCTGGTCCTTTATAACAACAGAAGCTTAAGCATATTTATTGACGTGGTTTTCCCATGATGGGTCTTTAGGAGTGCTCTCCAATGATTTTCTTCAACCGGGTGCCACAAACTGCCTTGTGATGCACCACTAGATTGTGTTCCTGGGAGGAATGCAATCAAGTATCAGATGTCTTTCCATCCAAAAGTGACCCGCTCTCACAGCCCTACCTCTGCAATTTCCACCTTCCTCTCCCAGATCCTGAGGCTGTTTTCTAGATCATGGACGGTCATCTTCTCATGAACATAGTTGAGGACAGGAGGAACTCTGTATTCTGCCAGTTGTCGCCGTAGCTTTTTGTTCAAGATCTCAGCCTTCAGCCGTTCCTGGGAAAGAGACAAAGTCCTTTGCGAGGGACTCTGATCTTGGCCCTGGTCTTTTGCCTACCGCTGGATTTTGGATGAAGGATTCTCTGGCAGGTAGGCCGCAGCCAGGAAGGATGGGATCTCACCATTCTTCCACTCTGATACTAAGCACAGGGGCCCTCCAGCTAAGCCCCTTCCTTTACTCTTTGTACACACATGACCACACCCCATTGTATAACACCAACGCAATTATTAAATTTGCGGATGACACGACAGTGGCGGGCTCATTAATAAGAACAATGAGTCTGCTGCTTATAAAAAGGAAGTACAAGGGCTGACACCGTGGTGTAAAGAAAATAATCTTACACTTGACACCAAAAAAAATAAAGAACTTATAATTGGCTTCAGGAGGAAGAGAGGTTTACATTTACCATTGTACATAATGGTGAGGAGGTGGAGAAGGGTGGTAGTTTTAAATTTCTGGGCACTTCTATCTCGGAGGACCTCCTCTCATAACTGTTGCCTTCTGGCAGAAGATACAGAACAATTAAAACTCAGATCACACGTTTCCTGAACAGTTTTTATCCCAGAGCTATAATGGCACTTAACAATGAACTTAAGGACCACCATCGGTGAGCAGTTGGACACTATTCCTTGGTCTGTTGTGTGGAGGTTTGTGTGTTTTTAGGAAGTGGGGAATTTTGGTGGGTGGGGAGGTGTTTGGGGATTGTCGTGTGTGTGTGTATGTTGAGTCTGGTCTCTGGGTGTTAGATGAATTTTGTTGTATGTATGCTGTGTATATACGTACAATGACAATAAAGAATTCAATTCAATTAACATTAACTGGGACTCAGATCTTTACCCATATATAAAATGGCACCGGAAAAGGATTAAACCCATCCGCCCTGATCTTGTTTCTTCCTTAAATACTGAGCCACTTCTTTGAAGACATGACGTTCATAGCACACTAGATGGATTCCTAGGAAATCTACTATTAGTGATCAGGGAATTTCTACACTGTCACCATTTCCACTTTCCAATTTTCTGTGAAGCAGTCTGAAAAAGTCCAATTGTCTTCCCTTCTGCCAACACAGAAATGCTGGGAACAAGGACTGAAAAGCACGGCCTGTTCCAGGTGGCCTCTGTTCTCGCAAGTACTGTCATTCCTTCCCCCCTTGAGAAGAACTGGAGCAGCTGCCCCAGTCCAGGGAAGGAGGAAAAGGATGGTCACCCCTCGGGTGAATAGCGGAGCAAGAGACCCCAACGCTCCCTCCAGGGACAGAATGGGCTACCCCAAGCCCCACAGGGCTCCAGCGCTTCCAGCTGCCAACTGGTTTGGGGGCAGGTCTTTTGGCATCAAGCCTAAGCCGGAAGGAGATCGTCGGAAGAGGCAGACAGTGGCAATCCAGGAAGAGAACAGAAGTTCCCCAGGGGTACATCAGAGGGGAGGAAGCTGCGGCTCCTGGGACTAAACAGGCACCACTGCTTTTTAACCATCTGCTTTTTGAGTCTCCATATTTGCCCTTTCCAGTTTTTAACATTTTATTCCCACCCTGAATCATGAAAGATGGTGAAGCCAGTCATGCCAAGGTTGACTCTTTTCATTTCCTGCCCAGGTTTTAGCACACATGGACCTTGGGTTTGTTGGCTTTAATGTCAGGGCCTGGATGGATCTACAATTAGATCCAAACTGATTGAGGTACCTGAGGAATCAAAGGCATCAAAGGTTAAAGCAAGGGGGGGAAAAGTGAAACCAGGGTAAAGTCAGGTATTCAAACGGCTCTACCTGTGCCTGGAGGCAACCTGGAGCACACACACACACCCGGCCCATGGTCTTTCTCCCCGTGGCCCCTGCTGGAGCCCCCCTCTTCCCCCTACCTCTTCCACAAAGATGGCTTCCCGCGCAATTTTCTCCAGGGACTCCTTTCTCTGGGCAATGTCTTTCACCAGGTAGGTAGCCATGGCCGTTGCATAGTGCAGCTTCCTCTAAAACAGAACACAACCCAGAAAGTGGCATCATTGTCGAAGTACAGAAACGTGAACGTACTTTGGTTGGACAAAACCTCCTGCGAGAGTCCAAATACGGAATGGACTCTGCTTGTTTAGGGCAGCCTTTCAGGTTTCCTTGTTCCTCCTTAGCCACGGTGGCGCAGTGGTTAGAGGGTGGTACTGCAGGCTCCTTCTGCTGCCTGCCGGCTGCCTGCAATTTGGCAGTTCAAATCTCACCAGGCTCCAGGTTGACTCAGCCTTCCGTCCTTCCGAGGGGGGTAAAATGTGGAGCCAGATTGTTGGGGGACAAGAGGCGGACGATGCAACTCTGTAAACCACTCAGAGTGGGGCTGTAAAGCACTGGGAAGCAGTATATAAGTCGAAGCGCTATTGCTATTAGTGGTTCCCAGGAACACCCTCAGTGGCCGCCTATCCTGCCCTAACCCTGATCTCTCCCACAGGACTGAGCGGGAGAGCCGAGGTTCTCTTGGGGCCGACCGATCGGGGTCCATATGAGATGCAGGGATGGGGAGCGTCCTTCTGGGGATGAAGGACCAGAGCCAGGGAGACTCAGCTGCCTTACTTTGTAGAAGTTAAGGATCTGCAGGGTGTTGCCAACGGTCAGCTTCAGCTGCAGTAGCTCTTGGTTTCGTTCATCTATTTTCTCCAGGAACTGAGCATTCTCAATCTTGAGCTGCTGGAAATCGACCTCATGCAGCGCCTCTCCCAGCTCCTCCTTCTGCAAACCGGCCACAAATTGTGATGGGCAGGCACCCATTTGAAGCATTTCAGAGCCAGCCCTGCCTGACCGGGCTGGAGAGAGCTGGTCAGCCCTGGGACCTGACCTTATGCTAGATCATTCATGCTTCACTGCAGGGAAGTCAAATTCAGGTAAACACAGAGCCTTTCCCACTGACAGAAGGAGCTGAAGAGCTGTGACTGCCTAGACTGAGAAAAGCAAGAGAATCTCTGGAGTAGGGTGGAGGGAGGAGGAAAGTGGAGTGCAAATGTGTTGCTCTTCTGTCCTGCAACAACTGAGGTTAGGCCAAGTTTTTAAATAATTTTATTCAAGTCTTAACAATCCATGGTTAATTTTGGCTCTGGTTGGCTCTTTGTGGTTAGTTTATTTCAGGGGTGTCAAACTCACGTCACAGTGGCATCATGTGACACATCAGGACATTTCCCCCATTAGCTAAACCAGGCATGGGTGTGGCCCGCGGGTCAGAAGTTTGACAGCCCTGGTTTACTTAGTTGGGGTTATTCTTTTAAGTATGATGTATGAAATAAGTCCATTTGGCTAGTCTACCCTGCTCAAACTGTTGCTTTGCTTTGTCCCTTGGTATCCCAGTTCTGGACATAGTCTCACTTCAAGGACAATAGATGGAATGAATAACAGAATAACAGAGCTGGAAGGGGGCTTGGAGGTCTTCTAGTCCAACCTCTTGCGTAGAACCCCATGGCAAAGGGATGAAATCCTCTCAACTGACTCAGGCAGGGCCAGCACCCTTGTCGTTAATTTGGCCTTGGACCTGGCAATTATATACATGTTGGTTATAAATATGGGAGTTAAACTTAGATTGTTAATAAATATAGATGGTACTCTATCCTGATGATTATAATGACAAAAACACTGTGGTAAATTAGCAGCTGATTTTAATTAAATAGAAAAAGCCCAATCAACCTTAAGGCAAAACAGTGGATTTTAATAAGTTAAATTGGTATGATTAGGTCCTTGAAAATTCCACAAACTTATGGAAGAAGGCTAAATGTTATTAAAATGAACCTTAGTTCTAGATAACATTTCCTATACTAATTAGTTTTAAATACTCAACAGATCAATACATTATTGAGAATATTTTATAAGATGGAGGGAAGCAGCCTTCCCAGTTTTTTTCTCTGTAAATTGCAGCTTTCATATAAAGATGGCAAATTTTAGTTTCTAGATTTTCAATTTACCACAGGGATTAATCCTATTGGGCTAAATAAAGACTTAGAGGATTTTTACTTCTGTTTGTAATTTGTTTCAAAAAGCGTTAATTATTGGCATAATTAGAAAGTAATTAGAAACAACAAAGGCTGCAAGGTACAGTTGGAGGATTTGGGTGAAAGCTGAAGTCTGAATCCTCTTTGTTAAAACTAGTTTGGAATCATCCCAATTTAAAAAGCTAAACCTACATTTATTTAAATAGATGAATATTGCTAAAACAAGAGAGTAGCGGAAGATGCCATTCAGAATAGGAGGATTCTAAGCAATGAGTCATTTGGGGCCTGGAAGAAGGTCCAAGGTGCTTCTTGACTTCTTCAAGGGAGAACTTTCCTGCCCTGCAGCCGATGCCCAGGTTGGCAACCAAGCCTTTTCCAGCTCTCAGCCGCTCTCAGCCGCGGTGGGCGGCGGCGGGGGGGGCGCATCTGAACTGGACTTGCACTGACTCCGACTGCTGGCTTCCTGCCACGGGGGGGGGGGGGAGGGGCCCGGGGGGGTCCCGTTTGGTGGGGGCGGGGGGGGCGCTTTAAGATTTCAGCTCTCTTTCTGAAGGGCAGCAGAGGTGGGGGCACAGAATGGGAGGAGCAGCGGTAGGGATCACCTTGAGAGCTGGAGGATGAGGAAACACCCGGCCGGATGGAAGAAACTGGAGTCTGGGCCAGAAATGTGGTTTGACAAAGCGCCTGGCTGGGCCCTGCCTAGTTCTCAGGAAGACAAAGGGAGGAAAGGGAGGCACACCCCAGGATGTCTTTGCAAGCTTGTAATAAAACCAGGCTTAGTATCCATGACTTTGGTTTCCTAATCTGGTCTACCTCGAAGGGCTGACAAGGTGCTGGGGGCGGGGAACGGGCAAGTAGAGGGCTAAGCCTGCTCTCAAAAGGTGGTTAATAGCCCTTATTCATACGGGGAGAGCCTGGGTGTGGGATCAGTCCTAACTCATCAGAAGATTTCCTGTCATGCTTACGAGACACGGGACAGGCTGGGCGTGAACTTTCATGCTGGAGTTATTTTTGAAGGGATTCTTATACCTATGATTTAAGCTGACCTGTTTTTGTCTAAAATTCACATTATTATTATTATTGATAAGTGTTAAGAAAGAGAAATAAGAATTTAAAATGTTAAGGCGATTTCTAATTATATGTCACAATCTGGAGTTTATCATGAAGAATTTCATCTTATCAATCTTGAACTCTAGTTAAAGTTGTAATTAAAGTTGTAATTCTGGGGCAAAAGGAATTCTCCCTCCAGAGCTGGAATTCTGGGCTGAAGGAAAACGTCCACACCACCACCCTCTGAAGCCAAATTACCGGAATCCCGACTTACCCAATTCCATCGTTGGTGAAGCTCAACTAATTGTTTTTATGCCTTTATTTTAATCCATGCACGTCTTCTTTGATTAAGATCCCCCTCTTTCCCCCTTTTTTTCTGCTTGCTTTCTGTTTGAGATTTTAAAAAGCATCTACTGCGCGTGTGATGCTTTGTAGCCTTCAAGGTTTTTATTGTTTCTACATTATATGTCAAAAATTGAAAGCGCCTTTGCTGGCATTGCCAGGAAAGGGCTGAGAAAGGTCTGTACCTGCTTGAGTTGCATCTGCATCTTCTGCTTCTGGACTTTGAGAGAATCGTTTTTCAAATGAATTTTTTCTTTCATAACATCCTGAAAAACAAAGCAACCTGGCTGATTTTTCAGGCTTCTTCCTCCTTTCGGAAGAATTCTTTCCCTCCCATACTGGATCAAGACAAATACTCAAGATGGATTTCTGCACCCTGGTAAGGCAGAAAGCCAGACTGGGACGACTGGGGCTTGTGTGATTTGTGAAGTTTAGGACTATGCCGCATAAACTATATAGGCAGCCTTGTAAATTAATTTAAAGAAGTAAATAGAAATGAATATACTGAGTGGCTTTGAACGTGGTGAAAATGAATCTTACTTACAAGCCAGGACTGCCTTATCTCGGTCATCATATATGACAAAGGAATTCTGCTGTAAAGTGTAACTACCACAATAATTTCTGAGTTTGGGAATGAATTACAATGCCCTTATTTTCTGTGAAATAAAAATATGTAAAACACCTTATATTTATTTATTTAAGTCTGGCCAGATAATTGGAATTCATGAAAGAGAAACTAAGTAGGTGTTAAATGGATGGTCAGGGTTAGCCACAACCCTCTGAGGAGGACAAGGCATGGGGTCAATGGAAAGGACATTCCTTATCCCAAGACAGATGGCTTGCATTGGCTCAGGGGCTACACTGTTTTTCACAGCTTATAAATTCACATGTCAATTACAAGTCAAGAGCTGCATTCTCATTTTGGGAGGGTGTTTCAGGAACTTTAAGGAGTGATGTCGGTTCCTCGATTATTTGGGAGGCTTAAAGCACTCCGAAGGTCCCAAGCCAAAACTTCTGAACTCCCTCAGCTTGGGTCCCTGAAAAGAATGACCACACTTTTTGCACATTTCACGGCTCCACTGAGAATTTCCCATCTCTCCATGCTGTGACTTAAAGAGAGGGAAGATGTGACTACCATTTGGGTGCCGCTAAATCAAGAAGCATATTCTATTTATTTTGTCGCTGTTATTTTTGTTTATTCCAGTGGTCGCCAAAAAGTGGGCCAGGGACCACTGGTGGTCCGTGAGAAAATTTGGTTGGTCCACTGAGAATTGTCACCCCCCAAAGTACCCCCCAAAGCAATTAATCCAGGCTGCACAGGAATACAAGGCTACGCCAACCACACAGCCCATGGGAACACAAGGCTTCCATTGCTTGCGTTGTGAACAACACGAAGTAGTGAGGGGAATGGGGAAAGGGCAGAGGGGTGGGGGGAACTTCTTTCCACTTCTTTCTTCTTCTGCTTTTGGCTGCACGCAACGAAAGCAGCCAAAGTCTTTCTTTCTCTCCCCCAAACTCCGCCAGAAAGAGACCCTGCAAGGCCTCCTGCTCCAAGAGGCTGTGCCGGCACGACAAGTCTCATTTTTGGTGGAGTTTGGTAGAGAGAAAGAAAAACTTCTGCTGCTTCTGCTGCTTTCCTTGCATGAAGCCAAAAGTTTCTCTCTTTCTCTCCCCCTGAGAACGGAGCTGGAGAAGGTATCCTGCAATCCCAAATAAAAAATGATTGATCGGTAGGAAAATGGGATAGGGAATTTTCCTGCAGATTCTTTTTGGGGGTTTCCCAGGGTCTCTGAGATTTAAAATTATGAGTTTGGTGGTCCCTGAGGTCCAAAAGGTTGGCGACCCCGGTTTAATCAATTTATATCCCCACCCAATTCACCAGCTGCAATTCTAGGAAGCTTAAACAGGATCATGAAAACGCAAAAAATAAAAACAGAGAGCAAAATGCAACCAAGACCAACACAGGCATAATCTCCCCTATCACAAAAATGGCCCTATCCAACCCCTAGTCTAGGAATTCTGTGATATCAGATGCTTGAGCCACATTGCTTGCTTCCATCCTGATGTCATTTATACTCAATAATAGAGGATCAAGTAGACAGAGGGTTTCCAAAATGATGATCATATTTTTATGGAGCTTTATAAAGTGAAAGATTATTTATTTTTGAGGGCGGTCTAATAAAGGAACAATAATTCAATAATCCTCTGAAGGCAATGACAACCACAGATATCTAAATGTGTTTCACTGTTTGGCACATACCAAAGGTCAGGAATACTGTAAGAATGCCAATGAGAAAATAGACCTTGTGTCCACATTCACCAATTTATAAGACTCAAAGGAGAAGAACCCATTAAGAGCCGACTTTCTCTTACTGACCCTAGAGCGAATCCGGTCCTCCATGTACCGCAGCACCTTGTCAGAGGCAATGACGCTCCCTTTCTTCTTAGTGATGGTTTTCACTATGTCTTTGTCAAACTCTATCATAGCTCTCTTAATTTCAACCAAGCGAATATCTGCTTCCTCTAGGATAGCCTGCAGAATTCAAATTACATTGGAAATAAATACTTGTTATATTTCACTTATTTGCTGGGCGGCGGGGGGGAGGGGGGGAGGGCAGACCTGGATGCTCACCCTTACATATAAACAACCACCAGCAGCCACAGTCCCAAAGAATGCTTGGCCTTGTCACAGCTCAGGGATGGGGGACAACCTGTCACCTTCAAGACAGTAGAGTACAGCCCTCTGGAGCTGGTGACACAGAGGCTAGGAAAGACAGTCCAGCCCAGGGTTTCTTAACCTCGATAACTTTGAGAGTTGCGGACTTCCAGCTCCCAGAATTGCCCAGCAGGTGCCCCAAACAGCCACTCAAAGGGAGGTGTTACCAGGTAATTCTGCAAGCTCCTTTCCGAATTCTCCTTCATCAGCTGCAGGTCTTCCTTGGTCTCGTCCGAGTCCCGCTGCACCAGGTCACATTTCTGTTCCACCGTCAGGCATATCACTCGATCCACTGTGATCCGGGACTTCGACTTGCGCCTGCCCCGTGGCTGCAACCCAAAGGGAGGGTCCTGAGTCCCCCACCCTCCAGCAAAAGCCAGATGTTTAATCTTAGGATTTGCCAAACTAGTTTTCAGCTTTCCTTTTTCTGATCCAGTATTAACTTTTAGATGTCTTAAGACAGGGGTCTCCAACCTTGGTAACTTTAAGACTTGTTGACTTCAAGCTGGCTGAGGAATTCTGGGAGTTGAAATCCACAAGTCTTAAAGTTTGCCAAGGTTGGAGACCCCTTCCTTAAGAGACACCGGTAGCAAATATGACACCTCACCATAAAATGTCAACTTAGAAACATATTTTCAAACATGAACATGGGAACAATGAAAACAATTCATTCGACAACTTCAGCAGCAGCATTTTCTACACTGGGCCCAACAGGGAGAAGTCAGAGTCACACCAGGTGTTAAATTGATCTACAGGAATACCTAAAAGGTGTCTTGCTGAGGAGGGCAGGGAACAGGTTGGTCCTGTTACTGGGTTGAGCGCTACGTTGTTACCTAGCTATGTGCTTGTGAGCATCTCAACCCATGTGCTGGGTTCTGCATTGGCTGTGACTCCCCAGGTGGTTTCCTGACGCTGCTCACAAAGTGCCAACACATCAGTCACCAAGACCAAGTTTCTTCTTCCTGAGAGGAGAGACGCCATTGCGTTCCCAGCTGAAGCCTGTCCAACGCCTACCTTGCCACAGATGCAGGGGTGTCAAACTCACCTTGTCACGGCGGCATCACATGATGTATCGCGACTCCCCCCCCTTTGCTAAACTGGGCACGGGCTTGGCCAGTGCGTGATGCATCCGGCCTGTGAGACAGCCCTGATCTAGAGCCTCCAGATCCTCAAGGAGAAAACAACCCCTTCCATAATAGGCATTTCTCCCAAATCCTGAAATACAGCCGGTCTCCTCCATTTTGCCACCACTGAGTTTCAGTCACATCCAGTTCCTTACATTGAGGAGACATTCATTAACCAATGGAGACACCCAACCTTGAGTTCATCGGAAAATATGGCTGTCTACTATTAGTTCCAGAGTTGTGACTGATCCTTCGAAGTATGGAACCTCAAGCACTCCGGCAAAAATTTAAGGTCAACACCAAAAACCACAAAAAACCTTTTTTTTAACAAAAAAGATCAGAATGTATTTCTCTCTGAAAAGTTGTCTCCATGTCAAATCCCAGTCTAAACTCAGAATGAAAAGGATCGTGATCATCTAATTTATTTCCCTAAGTCTGGAAAAAAGATAGAATATTGGACATTAGCTGATACTTAAGATTAAAGGATGATTTCCTAAGCAACAATATCACTGATGCATCCTTAAAAATAAAATGAAAATCCACCTGCAAAAAAGAAGCATTTGGGGAGAAACACAACGATCCTTGGTCAGATGAAGGATTTGGAGGGAGGCTCTTTTGTAAACAAAGCCAGGGAGAGATCCAAAACACAAATGTGAACTTCTTATCCATTCCTTCAAGTAATTAATTGTGAATTTGATTCAAATACACATTACTGATCTGAGCATAATCACAGGATGGCACAATATTGGTCAAACTGGCTTCTTATTCCAAACAGACTGTCCAGATCCCTCATAATGGAGCTCAGTCAAAACCTGAGGGAAACCAAAAGCACAGAAGTCGTGGGTGCTCCATCACGGGAGGCTTTTAGGAAGAGCCTGGACAGCCACTTGCTTGGCATGGTATAGGATCTCCCGCTTGAGCAAGGGGTTGGACTAGAAGGCCTCTGGAGTCCCTTCCAACTCTGTGATTCTGTTATGAGGTTGCCACAATCCAGTGGAAGGATTCAATTTTTTTTTACTACCGGTTCTGTGGGTGTGACTTGGTGGGCGTGGCAGGGGAAGGATACTGCAAAATCTCCATTCCCTCCCCACCCCACTAACCTGCTTTCCAGCTCCGTTCTCCTATGCAGGGCAACCAAAGAAGAGCCAGCCAATCAGCTGGGACTCGATGGGAGGCAGGGAAGAGGTGGGATTGGCTGGTTCTCCAAACTACTCAAAACGTCCGCTACCGGTTCTCCAGAACTGGTCAGAACCTGCTGAATATACCACCTCTGCCATAATCCCACTTGTATTTATTTTTCTTTTCTGTTCTGCTCCACTGCTATGGGAACTGCGATCCAACATGGGCTGGGTGCTTAGCAGCCATTTAATGAAATGTCAGGGGATTCTTCTGATGTTCCATTTCTCAACCCATGTAACTTAGAGGTAGCTGGCCAGGTTTGAGAAATTGCCCCATTTGGGATTTAATAGAATCCCACAAATCTCCATGCGTGAACCAATCTAATCCAGGCTCTGCCCTTGCTGAGGAAAAAGGTTGCAACCATCTGAACCTTACCAGGAACTGCTCCCACCCTGACAGTGTGGGAAGAAGGATGGGGAAACCTCAGTTCAATCCACTCTCAGCTGCCGGTGGCCAGTCCTAATTTCTCAGCCCAAATGGACTGGGCTGTTGTGGCAAAAAAAACAGAAAGAACCCCACATGCCACCCTGAGGCTGTGGAGGAATGGCAACCTGAATCTGGCAAGCGTAGAAGGCTGCCACTAGGTTGCGTTTTCCAAAGGGTGGGGAATCCTTGGGAGGAGGGTAATGTGTTGCACAGCATTTTCAGCAGCGCTCGAGCTGTGCAGCACATTACCGTCCTCTCAAGGATTCCCCACCCTTTAAAGCAAAGCAATGAACTAAGGGAAAATGGTCTCCGCTCTGCCACAGGGACCTTTCCTGAGCCCCCTGCTGGGCTTTTGGCTTGTGCCAGGAAGCCAAACCCGATTTCTGACCCACGCTCTGCCTGCCCCGTTCTCGGGATCACCTGAGTTGGACAGATTTCACGGGTTGCAAAGCTGCAGGAGCAGGCAGAGGCTGCTGCTAAGTTTAGGCTAACATGAACGGGTTGGGGTTGCACTGCTGAAATGCAGGGTCTGACTGCCATGGAGAAATTATATCTGAGTGAAAGTTTTGGGGGAAAGATTTAAGATAAAGCAAATCTTAATAACTCAAGTAAAACAATAAAAATATTGGGGTGAATCTCAGGGTGAATTTGCAAACTAGATTTAACTGTGTGGAGGAGTAAATAAAAAAGGAAGGTAAGTCTACCCAGGTATTAGATGAGCAAATAGCTTAACCAGGTTAGTAAAAACCTAATGGTTGCCTTTGCAACCGTAATTAGATTGGTTTTCACTTTGACAGTGTTTTAAACCCTAAGACATGTGTGAATGCTGCCCTTTTGGGCAAACAAAGATTATGGATACATTCAGTAACCAGTAAGCGTGTGATGTAGTTCAGTCATTCAGAAGCCTACCCCATTACTAAAATGACAGCACAATAAATGATCATATAGCTTACATACGGTGCTTGTCCCATGTCCAGCAATGAACTATGTTTTTCTGCTCCCGCGTCTTTTGGCTCCAATCTATTGAAAAATTTCTCAAACATTTCCGTTTCAATTTTGAGCATGGAGTTGGTGTGGCTGAACACAGAGGAAAAATTCAGTGAGTGAACTTATAGGCACGTGGCTCATCCACATGTCTGAAATGAGAAAAAAATGCCAGCAGCACTTGAACAAATTCAGAGAAAGACAAATTCCTTTCCTCAGTTCAGCACTTTTAAGGGCATGTTGACCATGGAGAGCGCCTTTCAGATGAGGAGCAGCAATTTAAATTCTGGAATGGTGATTATGTGACCCTGACACACTGCAACCTCTCTAGATATATGCTAGTTGCCAAGCACCTAAATTCTGACCATGTGACTGCGGAGCTGCTGTGACTGTCATAAGTGCAAAGACCAGTCACCATTATTTTCAACACCATTGTAATTTTGAACAGCTCTAAAATGAACGGTCCATAAATTGACAACTGTATTCCATAAATATAACGAAAACTAAGCAATACAACAATTCAAGTTACCTTCTATTTATCTCAGCTGAAAAGGAAAAAAAAGCCCTTGGAGAATTCTATTTTACCCACCTGCGCTCCCATTTTCTCCACTTTAAGCAGTTATTTCTCATGCATAGAATTAGAGCTCTGAATATCTCACCAGCCCCCTCTCATTTTATTGAGTTGTTTGCAACTCATAAGGATCCTTAAAAATGGGCTGGGTGAGCTGAATTCTTGGTCTAATGAATTCTGCTGATCAGAACTTTTAACTTTAAAATGGGTAGGGATGGTTTCTTACGTGCTTTTATATTGGGCTTTAACCACTTTTTATTGGATTATTAGTCACTTAGGTGAAGTGGGTAGCCATACAATTTGAATAAATAACAATCAGTCCTTGATTCAGGGAGCAAGATGGAAGTTGGGCATCATTTTCACAACTGAACGTGGCTTCAATTGGACATAGCAGACTATAGTATACAAAGCTGTACCAATGTTCCATGTAAACATGCTGACAACTTTTATGTGCATCTCCCTAATGTTTACTGTGAATGTTTTATAGATTAATCTTCACTGCAAGATGTTACATTTCAAATAACTTTTTTTTCATTCTCTCTTCCCACCTCCACCCTCCCTTTTTTGTTCCTGGCCAAGAAAAACTCAAATGAGGCTACTCATCATGAAATCCTAAACAGATTATACATCTTCTCCGCTGAGACTTTCTTACGGAACTATACCAAGTTGACTGATTATATGTCATCAGGTCAACTCTTGGCAATCTGTTGGATCACTTCAGATTTGCTGCCATAGGTTGGCTGTTTTTCTTATTGCTTGCCATATTTCAGTGGGTATCCATCAGTTCCTGTAGCCTTCAGAAGGGACCAGAGTGTTGATCTCACTTCTAGTAGCAGAGCTTCTTGTACGTAATGGATTTTGACATGTCTACTGTACAGTGTTTCAACATATTCCTTCCAGCTTCCTTCGATCTCCTTTGAGTTGGTTACTATCTGTCCATCAGCCTCCAGCATACCAATTTGAGGTCAGAACTGCCTTCTGAGTTCAGAGATGTTTTGGAGGACCATCCTTATTTTTCCACGTCTCAACATTTTTTTTATATTGTGGCGACCAAAACTGCAGTATTCTAAATGTGGTCTCATCAAGGCCTTCTAAAGTGGTACTAACACTTCACACGATTTTGATTCTATCCCTGCTAGTGCAACCTAGGATGGCATTAGCTTTTTTGGTGGCTGTAGCACACTGCTGGCTAACGTTTAGGTGATTGTCTACAAGGATTCAAAGATTCTTTTTGGTTACCACTATTGAGCCAGGTTTCACCTCATTGTTACCTGTACATTTGGTTTTTCCTGCCTATGTGTAAAACCTTATTTTTCTATACATTTAATTTTATTTTGTTAGATAGGGCCCATTGTTCAAGTCTGTCAAAATCCTTTTGGATCCCGAGCTTTTCTTCTGTGGTGTTGGCTATTCCTGCCAGCTTAGTGTCATCTGCAAATTTAAAGAGTTCCCCTTCTACTCCCTCATCTAAGTCTTCTATGAAGATGTTGAAGAGTGTTGGGCCTAAGATGGAACCTTGTGGTACCTCACTGCTTACTTCCCTCCATGTAGATGTAGCACCATTAAGGATTACTTTTTGAGCATGGTTTGTCAGCCAGTTGCAAATCCATTTGGTAGTGATGCTACCTATCCCACATTTTTCTAGCTTACCAAGAAGTAGGTTGTAGTCTACTTTGTCGAATGCCTTACTGAAATCTAAGGATACTATATCCACAGCATTTCACTGGTCCACTAATTTAGTCATTTTGTCAAAGAATGTGATAAGGTTTTTTTGGCGTGATCTATTTTTGACAAACCCATGTCAGCTACTGGTTATAAGCTTACTTCCTTCTACCGTGTTTCTCATATAATAAGGCCGGGTCTTTTTTTTTTTTTTTGAGCCCCGAAAAAATGGCTAGGCCGTCTTTTTGGGATGACTGAATTCCCCCCCTTGCATCTTCGGGCAGGCGGCGACGGCTTGGATGTTGACCTCGGCGTTGGTGGGGCACTTTGTATCGGGGTCAACGCAGGCAGCACCATATCCGGGTGTGCAACAAAAGTACTTCCTAATGGCAAGCCCCCCCACCATTCCCATTTCGCATGTTTTAATTTGGGGGGAGGGGCTTAATTTCATTTCATGCCTATAAAACATGCTGGGACTTCCTATTGGGGGAGGCCGTAATGTTGGAGAACAGGGTAGGTACTTGCAGATCTGTCGCATGATTATGATTTAGACAAACTCCTTGTGTGTCCAATCACACTTGGCCAATAAATAATACTTCTATTCTATTCTATTCTATTCTATTCTATATAAAGATTTTATTCTCTTCTCTTCCCAGGTATTGATGTCAGGCTGATAGGTATGTAGTTTCCTGTATTTGTCCCCCACCTTTTTTTAAAAAATGGGAACTACAGCAGCTCTTTTCCAGTCCTCAGGTAATTCCCAGGTGCTCTGGAATCCTTGAAAGATCCGGTTCAATGGTTCTGAGATAACCTCTGCCAGCTCCTTCAGAACTCGGGGATGTGATCCGTCAGGTCCCAGTGATTTGAACTCATCGAGAGTGGACAGGTGTTCTCTTACCATTTTCTTGCTAGAAAAGGGTAAGACCTCTTCCCTGACCTCTTCCCTCTGCCTTATGATTGACGCTCCTTTTTACCTCACCACTGCCCCCCCCGCCCAGGGCAGGGGTCCCCAACTTGGCCACTTTAAGACGCGTAGACTTCAACTCCCAGAATCCTGGGAGCAAAGCTGGCTGAGGAATTCTGGGAGTTGAAGTCCACCGGTCTTAAAGTGGCCAAGGTTGGGGACCCCTGCCCTAGATGGCTGCTGCCCAGCAGCGAGGGGGCCTTCACACCTGGGGGGCGGGCTGCTGGGAGTGTGTCGCTCAGCCCCCCCAAGGGGGCTCGGGCAGGGAGTGGCTGTGGCCCAACGCAGCGGCGGCGGCGCCAAACTCCAATTCGAGGGCCGCAAAGGCAGCCTCGGCGGCCCCCGACCGAGCCGCCCCTTCCTTCCCGGCCAGCGGCGGGCGCACCTGTTCTCCTCCACCAGGGCCAGCAGCTGCTCGGTCGAGAGCTGGGCCAGCTCCACGTGCAGATCCTCGGCCCCCTCGTGCGACTCGCCCGTGTGGACGCTGTCGCGCTCCGACTCCTCGTCTCCCAGGACGCTGCCCGAGACGCGGCCCAAGCTGGGCGGCCAGCAAGCCACCTCCGCCGGGCCGGCGCAGGACGCCCCCCGCATCTCCGCGCCGGGCAGGCGCAGCATGCCCCGCGCCGCCTTCTCCCCGAAGGCCTCCATGCCGCCGCCGCGCCTCTCCTGCCGGGCGTCGGTTGCCGGGCTGGCAGCCCGCCGAACCCAAGAACCGCTCTCCAGCCCCGGCCCGAAGGAGCGCGAGATTCTCCCGGACTACGGCTCCCGTCAGCCCTGCCGGCCCGGCCCGATGGCGAGGCATCCTGGGAATTGCAGTCCGAGGCGCCGGGCGTCCTCCTGGGCGTCAAGGCGACCGGCCGGCCGGCGCGAGAGCCGACCAGTCCCCGCCGGAGGTCCGCCCCGCCAGAGGGGTCGCTGCAGTGCCGGGGCGAGCCGGCAGGCACCGCGGCCTTCCTCTCGCGCGGGGCGGGCCGGGCCGTGTTGCTGCCGCCGCCTTTGCCGCGTCCGGTGCGGCGGCCAGCGCCGCGGCCAGGCCAGAAGCGCCCTTCCGCCGCCGCCGGCCGCCCCGGCTTCCCCGCTCGGCCCGGCCTGGCGCCGCAGCCCCCGCTCGTCGCGCGCGCCTCGGGGCTGCTGCTGCTGGCGGAGCTGCTGGGCCGCCGGTGGTGCTGCCGCTTCGTCGCCCCCGCCCGCCGCCCCCGCCTGCTCCTCCTCGTCGCCGCGCCGCCGCCCGGCCCCGCCATGCCCGGCCCGGCCGCGGGGAGCAAGGCCCGCGTGTACGCCGAGGTGAACGGCCTGCGGAGCCGCGAGTACTGGGACTACGAGGCGCACGTCCCCACCTGGGGGTAAGCGGGCCGGCGGGGGGTGGGGGGACGGACGGCGGGAGGCAGAGGCTCCTCGGGCTCTCGTGAGAGGAGCGCGCCGAAGGAGCGGCGCCTCGGTCCCGCTGGCGTCGCCAGGGAGGGGCTACGGAGGGACGGAGCCCCCCGGGCACGGCCGCTGGGTGGGAAACGCCACGAGGCAGCCTCCCTGCCCCTTCGGGTTGGCGGTGCGAGTCCGCCGGGGACGGTGGGTGCGATGGATGGGCTTGGGGGGGGGGGGGCTCGGGACCCCCGTGGACGTGGTCTGCGGAGCCCCCGCGTGGGACGAGCGGCAGGGAAGGCGAGGCGTTTCCCGCTAAACGTCTGGACAAAGGCTCCTCGGGATGGGCAGCGGTGCCTGAATGGCTGTAATAGGTGGCATTCATCTTGTGGTTGGGTTAAACTGCAGGGGGACTTCACCCTTGGCCGCTTTAAGCCTGGAGGACTTCAAGTCCCAGCATTCCCCAGCCAGCTTTGAAGTCCTCCTGAAAGTGGCTGAAAGTGGGCCAAGGTTGGAGAGCCCCGCGTTAAAGTGTTCTACAAAGTACAACATGCCTGGGCTTCTGAAATGCGCCAGGCTCTGACTTGGCCAAAAGGGATTGTAGCTTGTTAGATCCGTGTGAAAGAGATCCCCCGCTTCTAACCCCCTTCTTTTGTATGACGCTCTTTGGCGGGATGTGATGGGAATGGGGGAGTCTAGATTGGCACACCCACCCCAGGCTCTCTCCAGGTGCTTTGGGACAGCCGCTTCCAACCCCATAATTCTTAGCCCAGATGGAAAAGACTCTCTTAGGCAAGGGTCGTCCACCTTGGCAAGTTTAAGGCTTGTGGACTTCAACTCCCAGAATCCCTGAGCTAACATGACTGGAGGAGGAATTCTGGGAGTTGATGTCCACAAGTCTTAAAGTTGTCAAGGTTGAAGACCCCTGCTCTTAGGAGAGAATAAGAATTGTTGATAAGAGGAACCTTAAGACAATCTAGAGCAGGGATCTTCAACCTTGGCCGCTTTAAGCCAGGTGGACTTCAACTCCCAGAATTCCCCAGCCAGCATTCTGGGAGTTGAAGTCCACCAGGCTGAAAGTGGCCAAGGTTAGAGACCCCTGCTCTAGAGTGCTGTGCCGTTTTAAACATCAGTTCTACGGCAGGAATGAGAACTCTTCTATGCTGCTGAGAAATTTCACCTTTTCTCTCCAGGCTTCCTGTGGCCCTCAGAAGTTACCCTCAATGAATTTGTCCCCACCCCATTTCACATTGCTGGCAATTCTTTTTCTCTCTTTCTTTTCCCCCTTCCCTCCCAAATTAATCTTGGGGTTTGCTGTTGCCCTTTTCAAAGAGCCTCTGTTTGAACCCTTCTTCCGCATCCATATAGGTTCCCTTTCTTCTCCCCACCAATCAGTAGCAAACACGAAGGGTAAGAAGCCTGAGAGGTGGTGGGCTGTCTTCAGCTCATATAATTCGTTTTATTTATTTAAAAGACTTATCTAGATACCCAACAAATGCACCCAAACCCTGGGCAGTTTACAGGCAACAGTAAACAAGGTTAAAAACCATCATGCTGACTGCCGGCTGGGGTGGTTATAGAATTCTCCTTTCCAGCAGGACCAGTCAAGTGAGAGCCTACGGAAGAGGCAGGGCTGTTGCCTCCCCTGAGGATGTCTTTTTACTAGTTCCTCACTCTGAGGAGAGCAGAGGATCTCTCTGTTGAGTCTCTTCTCAGTCATTTTCCTCCCTCACTGTTTGCAGTAATCAAGACGATTATCAACTAGTTCGGAAACTCGGCCGGGGAAAATATAGTGAAGTCTTTGAGGCTATAAACATCACCAACAATGAGCGAGTGGTTGTGAAAATTCTTAAGGTGAGTTCTTACTAGATTCTTATCATGGAAATTAGGAATGTTTATGTTGATACCTAGTATTCCTAGTATTTTGCAACAGATTGATATACAGGTTATCCTTGATTTACGACTGGTTGTAGTCTGACAGCCATAGAACAGGTGCTTTTTGGCCTGTAAAAGCCTTTCTGAGCATCATAAAATGTTGCCCCCCCCCAAAAAAAAATTATATGCCGGGTGACCTGTTTGCATTTACAATTACTGTAATTGCCAAGTGATCTGCAATCATGTCATGATTTGCAATCCTCCCCGCCAGCTTGTGGAGGGAGGGGAAATCCTTCTGCACCCTGGAGGAATGGGCCTCAAATCTGATGAAAATGCTAGCAAAGCCAAGCATTCTGAAGGGCTCTGGACTTTTTCAGAATTCTGAGGCTCAGAACTTTTCAGAAGGCTGAAGGCTTCATTAGCGTTTTCTTCTCCAAAGAAGAAAGTGTTAGTGAACAGCATCCTCTCACAATGGTTCAGAAGGCCCCTTTCTCCAAATGGTGTAATTTTGGGAAGGAGAACCATCCCAAGAATGGGGCCCACCTGTACACTGGAACATGGCAACAGGAAGGTAAGTGGACCTGCACCTGTGGATGGGAAGAGGGACGGCATGCGCTGGGCCTCCCTGAGCCTCCCCCACTGACACTCACATAATGGCCACAATGGGAGAGCTCAGAGTTCGTTCGTCATGTGGGTGCCTCAATTAATGATTACAGTCATGACCAAAATTCCAGGCTCAAGTGGTCATAAATTGAGGGCTACCTTTAGTAAATGAGTTCCCATTTTGTATGCAAATTGAAGTGCTGGTTTCTACCTTTGGGCATAGAAACTTTTATGAAAGAAGTATTTCTCCTGTTTAAAAAAAGGGTAAAACCACATTTGGAACACTTCTGTCATAAAAGCTTCCAGAACAACATTTTCCAGTTTGGAATGATATTACTAGTTTAATTGAATTTTATAAGCACAAAAAGAATAGAGTAGCGTTCTATGTAAAATAGCGAACGTCAGATATTTAAAAGGAGAAATGCATGGCTAATTGCCTTTCAACATGGAAATAATCAGAACTTATACCCAGAATTTCCCTATAACAATGAACTTTGAACCATATTTTACTACCTGTTTGAAGTTTCTGCAAATTTGTTGGTTAAAAGAAAATAGCCATTCTCTTTCACTGCTGATGTTAAGAATAATCATAATTGGAGACCATGTTAAATCAGTCAGTAATTTTTTCAAGAACGAAAATTTAACTCTGCAGAACTGTAAATTAGAATAGGCATGGGGATTTTGAATAGATTTTCTCCAGAGGTTTAATGTAATTGTGAAACATCTTTTCTGTGTAAATATAACTGGCACTGACATTATAGTAGTTTCAATATTAGTAAAATGCTATTTAATTAGATTATTCTGCTGGATGTTGTAGTTCAGTATATGCCTGTAAATATCTCGTTTGCTATCCCTGTCCAACTTAATTTTAAAGCAAAATATATCTAAATACATTTCAGCCCATCAATAGCAGGGGAACATCTTCACAATCTTTTCAGCAAAACATTTTGTAACTATCCAAGCTAACGATTACAAGATCATTGTGGGACGGATCCCCTCCAAATAGCCATGTTGGGAAACTGCTTCTAACTTCTTCCCCCAAATTCCAGAATGTATTACATTTATTAAAATAGTATGGCATTTTAGTTCATGTAGTGTGCAAAAAGGAAGGAATAGAAAAAAGCAGCTGCTTCTGTGTGTCACCTTTTTGGTACAGGTAGTCCTCAATTTAGCACCACAGTTGAGCCCAGAATTTTGGTTGTAATGTGGGTGGTTATGAAATGGGTCCCCCCATGACCTGAATCAATTTTATGACTCTTTGTGATGGTTGTAAAGCATTTTCACCATAGATGTTAAGTGATTCATGTCTTAACCATGGTGAACCATTTGTGAGATGAAATATCTTCCTGGAGAAAAAGTGGACCAGACAAGAAAACCAGGGTTTCCCAGGAAAGAGGCAGCACGTTCCAGGCAAAGGTCCTGATTAAGAGACTGCCCCATCCCAAATTGGGTGAGGGGTGGAGAGGAAGAGGTGAGGATTAGCCACGCTGGAGAATCTTTCAGGATGTGTCTGCTAGGGGAGAAGGTAATCGGTTAGTCTGGCAAGATTCCGTCCATTGGTGGAAGCAAATAAAGGATCGGGCTTGAAGGGATTTCACAGTGCCGTCTTTGGGTTTGGGCCTCAGCGTGTGGCTGCCTAGTGAATGTGGATGTTTCCTATCAGGGTATAGCAAAAAATGTCATAAATCACGATCAAATGAGCCCAGGACTCATTGGAACTGGTAAATTGTAATACGATTGCAGTCAATGCAACTGCTCTTAAATGCTAGCCAGTTGCCAAGCAGCGGAAATGTGATCATGTGACCACAGGGGGTGCAACTTTTT